AGGTGGGGAGACAAAAAGAAAAGCAAGTCTTCAAATCAACATGAACAGCCATGATGGCTTACGTTATAAGTATGGCTGTCCGAACAGCTAGAGAGAGAAAGAAAATATGTGGCGCGGTTGAAGTATATCTCACTTTCGTTCATTTGTAACCAAGTGCGAGGTCATAAAAACCTAGGTTATCCACAACGACTTCACTTCCTGTTGCTCTAGTTGCTGAAGTACCGATGTCTCCGGGGCGACTTGATACTTGTATTTACGATCTTATTCAACCCTGGACATTCCTGCCGCCAGCTATACAAACTGCACCAATCGTGCTCCCACCTACGTGGCCACTCAGTGAGGTTCGCACATCAGCACAGTCGACTGAACTGCAGGCGACACTTCTTCGCTTTGCGAACCTGCCGACCGTGGAATGCTCTGCCGGCAGACCTAACCTCGGCACCTACTGTGACTGGACTGTCAGTTTGTCGAGCTACATCGCGACCTTTCCTGAGACAATTATTACTCCATTTCATAGTCCATACTAGCCAGTCAACTTCCAGCTGCCTACCACCCGAAGAAGCTGGTTGTTCTGCAACTCGCAACACTTTCGATATACATACTGACGGAGTTTCTTTTCTCTTTTGTCCTCTATCTAAGTTCTTTCCATGGCCGTTTCGGAGGGCATGGTGGGATGTCACGTTCTGAGCGGGCGGGCATTCTGTTTAAATGCCATATACTCCCAATGAAGGTACGGCTAACCCGCGAGTCCAACTCGCTATACAGTTGCTTGGTTATCATCAGACACGACCCTAACATTTTTTACCCTATGGGTCGTCTAAAGCATGAACTTTTATTCCCACTACATACAATGTTCTAATGTTCTGTATATTGTTCAGACCGACTGCTTAATCTACGCGGATGATCTGAAGCTGTGGATTGAGGTTTCCAGTCTGGAAGACGCAGACATACTTTAAGCGACACTCGATCACCTCCACGATTGGTCACTAAAGTGGCAGTTGCCCATTAACCATGACAAATGCGCTATCCTTCCAATCGGTGCTCCTGAGCCTTTTGGGGCTTACCATATCGGGGGTTTCCTGCTCAGCAATGTAAACCAAGAGAGGGACCTAGGGGTGATTGTGTCTCCTGATCTCAAATCAATCGAGGACACTCGGAAGAGGGTCGCATCCGCATACAGAATACTTCACGCTATACGGAGAGCCTTTTCACGCCTGACCCCAGCACTCTTCAGATTACTGTTTGCTTCTCATGTACGCCCAGTTCTCTAGTACGGATTGCCTGCTGCGTACCCGCTCACTAAGTCCGAACGTGACATGATCGAGAAGGTTCAACGGCGTGGATCCAAATCCGTTCCAGAGCTTCGGGACTTACCCTACCTCCTCCGGCTACAAGGGTTGAACCTGTTCTCTTTGGATTATCGTCGCCGCGGAGAAATGATATTCACCCGGCGTATTCTACGAGGTGAGCTGGGGAGTGAGCTGCAATCGAGGCCACCGGTGGAAACTTATCAAACCGCGGCGACTCGGTGTACGGTCCGATCTGGCCCTATCCACCCGGGTAGTGAATGACTGGAACAGCTTGCCAGAAGCTGTGGTCGATGCGGAGACGGAGGAATGTTTCAAACGACGGTTGGATACCCACTCTCTGAGTGCGCAGGGATTCTGCTGCCCACAATACAACCATAGCGATCTTCTGCTGAACCTTGTTCCGCAATGATCCCAGCAACCCTCGCAATGTCCGGGAAGCGACGGAGCTGAGAAAGGAACTTCCTTCTGCTCTCTACTAACCAATGAACCAATGAACCTCATGCATGAGTGAAAACCGACGCTTCGATTCAGACTAGTATTTCAGTTTCGTGGATTACGAACAAAGGTGTCGAAAATGTGCTTTCGAAAGTGAACACTAAATGTAGTGGTGAAAATGAGTGTTCGATGACTACACGTAAGAACACGGTAAGAAATGAAGCAAATGCTCAAGGTAAAATGGCCAACTTGTGCACTACTCATGAGTAATGGCGATGCAGACAACTGAAACACGTAAAAGCTAGTTATCTGATGGAGACAATGCATTTCGAGGTAAACACTTGGGTTGAAAAACCGGGTTATTGATGAACGGGTTTGATCAGTACTGTCGATAGTGTCGACCCCTAACATACAAGACGGTGTTCTGATCATGATAAGTGACAGACTTGTGCATTAATGTGATCTGTAACGACTATGATATTCATACCAATCGTCATTTAAGTGAGAGAAGAAATTTACTGATCTGCTACTTCATATTTTATTCCTATTGTAGGTGGACGGCGCAGCGGGAACTGTTGGTGCAGGTCAAGTGGGCTCAGTGGCCCAGTGGCATAAGCTGCTGAATGGCGGTACAAGCCACTGGTGGTCATGGGTTCGTATACTGATTCCTGCTCCTTGGCTGTAAAGTGAAATTTTTGGGCGTGTTGCCTTTTTGAAGATTTACTTTCAAAAGACAGTTTCCGAACAGTGTTTACAAGTGTCGTGCAAAAGAATTTGACTTTTGTCAAATTTTGCTTGATCCAACTAACTTTGGTTCATCTTTTTCCACGGATTATGTCGTTCCCGTTCTCGAGTACTTACTAAACGTCATGCAACTTTTTCGAATTCATCCTCCGGCCATTTCACGGTGTTTGTGTGTTTCGTAATCCGTTTTGCACCTTGTTTTAACAAGTAACTGTTTTTGTTGACTGCGCTGAAGGTAACAGCTTGTCGGCTTTAGCTTTTGATACTTGTTTCACACTATTTGCAAGCGTCATGTCGCATTAACTGAATACCAACGCTAATGTGTCTTCCGCTGCGTTGATCTGCAAATCTAATGCTGTATACGGCAGCGTGAGCTGCTCAAAGCCCGTAACAGACAAGTCTGGTGGCATGCAGTGCAACTTATGGTACCATGAGACATGTACTAATTTGAGTCCTGATCAGCCTGTAATGCTTTCGATTAGCGATAGCATTCTATTCAATGGTCTTCTATGCCGTAGCCGTCGATCTACGCGTCTTGAGGTCACTGAGGAGACATCGAGCAACGTCGGGTTGGGTAATCAGCAGATGTGATGTTTCCTCACATCGCTTGATCGCAGTGGAGTTACTGATGAGGAAAATGGGAGTCTCTACTGATGTCGGCTCATTGGAAGAAGACACGCAACTAACCTCAATCATTGTCGAGGAAAATCCGACTGAGATAACGGCTAACGTGTCGTGTGCCCCCGCTGTCTAGTATGCCCCAAACGAGGTCTCTGTCGTACTGGAAGCCGTCCTAAGAGAGACCGAACTTACAGTCCCTCTGCTCAATAAAAGCAAGAGGAAGAGGGCAAAAAAAGTCCGTAAGGCTCTCTCAAAGCCTGAAGGTACTAAAAACCATAAAGGTGCAACAGGTGGAACACAAAGCTCCAACTCCAATCACCCCAGTTCCATTGGCGAGGAAACGCGCCGTGTCGACTTCGGCGACACCCGCAAAGTCTGAAAGGATTAGACCGGTGAGGGATTTGGAGGCAGAACACAAAGCCTAAACCTCGATTACTTCAGCTCCATTGGCGAAAAAAAGCGCAGTCACCTGCCAAACCGGTCGAAACTGGGGTCAGGTCGAAGACGCGTAGTGATTATGCCTGGTCGAGGTGATTCTTTTAATGATAGTAGCGTTATCTTTCGTAACGTTGCTGAATCCGCGGCAGGTCTTCCCATGGAACGCATGCTGGATGAGCTCCAGTGGTTCAAGCTCCGCGTCAACAGGATGTTTCCACCTGGTTTCCTCGGTCTCACTAACAGAAAGCTAACCAGATTGGGGAATGTCCCTGTATATACTCCAAATCCGCAACCCCTACTACTTGATGTAGTCCTCTCAAACCCGGAGGAACGCAAAGCGTTAATGCACTTGCATTCAAACTCAAGGGTAGCAATGTCAGCATTCAGTCGAGTCTTCCACTGTCAGATCGACTAAAGTTAAAGGAAGTCATCAAAAGCCTCAAGAGTAGGCGGGCGGCTGGTGAGATGTCACCAAAGATGCCGCAGGTTCAAGAAGCCAGCTCTGGCCTTTGCAATGAGTGAGCTCACGTCAGTTTCTATGCGCCCATCCTTGCGGATGCAACTGCCAAGATAAGTGAATTCATCAACCATCTCGAGTTCCTCGTTAGCAAGCGTCAAAAAAATATCAAGTGGCTGGTGGTCTTGCAGCAACATTTTGCACTTTGAAGGTGCGAAGTGCATACCAAATAATGTCCTTGGGTGGCAATACTAAATCTTCCCCTTCTCCTAATCGAGTTGTATGTTCAACTTTCTCTTCGTATTTTAAATTTTCTCTCACATTGATATTATCATTATATAGCTGACATTCCTCCTATTGTTTACTTAGCTTACCCTTCACTCTATTGCTTCACATAAACCGGCCTGGCAGGGACTGCTGGGCAGGAAAATGTGGGGGGTAATTGGTTGGACAGGGTGTGATGCGGTCTCTGTATTAGGTTTTTCAACATCGCAAGCAGACCTATCAATTCCCTATCCAACGATACGAAATGGAAGGAACATTCACGGGATTATCCTATCGTTCCGGTCCTAATTGAACTTGGACTTGAATTGGTGGAACATATTTTGATTCGAGCGTATTGCTCGGCTCACACTGACTGTTGAAATTGCCGTCGGTATGTACTCTGGATCAACGACGCTTTCAAGAAGGAACATGCAAGGGAACTGCATGCTGTTACAGTTCCAGAGGAACAAACTCCTCGGAGCACCCGCAGTAAGCAAGACTGTTTAGTTAAAAAATACAATTCTCTATAAACCACAGGAATAAGCATTGAAGAATAATGAAAACACTAACACATGTCACACAGTCGTCGGATAAAAATAACAGAATATGTAAAAATAAAAACATTACACATGACATTTCCTAGTAACTTTAGGCCAATGTCCCACTTTAAGCCATATGAATTCCTACGTTAAATCAACTACTTTGGCCTGCAAAACTCGTTACAAACTTACCTTCAATTTCATCCTGAGAAGGCTGACCCGTGTGATATCTTGCCCCCGAATCCACAACCGGTTCATCAAACATCTCTTCTTCGTGCGACATCGCAAATGACCTCTAGAAAATGGTCACAAAAGACCGACACTGAGCTGGATGCTGCCAGAAAGTCATTAGTGCCCGTCAATCAGCTCCTCGTGCTTAATCCGTTCCGTAAAGTCTGAAGCTCGTTCACAAGGACACCTGAACACCGTTCACCACCCAATGAAAGGGGTAGTGCAAGGCGACCGTCCCACAGTGCTCAGTGTTCGTAAACTCGCAAACTGGTAAATGGGCTCTTTGAAGGTCGATGGAATTGGTTTAGAGTATGAAGCGTTTGTAGCATTCTGGTGATTCCCTGGTTCTCCTGTGTAAATGTTTAACTAAAAATATTTATTTGTACACCTAGGCTGCCGGTGTGATTTGTTGAACTGATTGCTGATTTCGAATGTTTGACTTGCTGATAGCCACGTTTGCTTGCCGCTCGTTACGGTTGCGAAGCATGACGGCCCTGTGTGCTGTGAATCCTCCGTTCCCCTAGCTACAACGTCAACGTTATCGTCTCTAATATCTAGGTTACAATGAATCTTTTACTGTTGCAATAAAGTTTTCTCTGCAACTCGATCCGTCTTTTTGAATCGTTCTCCGGGCTCCCCGTACAGGCTACCCGCAGAACGTTTTAAATGGCAAAGAAACGTCCGCAAAATAATTAGAACTTGTGTTCAAAAGTCCAAATTTAATCCATCATTTTTCGTGCATTTTAGTGCCACCTTAGGTTTAAGTTGTTTAATCGGTGTTTATTGGTGTTCATTGGTGTAGTATAGAGCAGGAGGGGAGATGCCTTGTCAGCTCCATCGCTTCCCGATCATTGCTGGGATGATCGTCATTGCGCAACGGGAACTCCGGAGAGGTCAGCGCAATCATAGCTGAAGTAACACGATCCCGGCATATTCAACAGGTGTGAATCAAGTTGCCGATTGAAGCAATCCTCCGTCTGTGCATCAGCGACGGGCGGCGGTAACCGGTTCCAATTATTCACAACGCGTGTGGATAGATCAAGAATGGATCGTACTTTGAGCCTCCGTGGCTTGAATATTTTCCTTTGGCGGCCTGTAGCCGAACTCCCGATGTTGAGGTGGAAGAATTACTGCAACTCTCTCCCTAGTTCTCCTCGGAGGATACGACGGGTAAAAATCAAGTCTCCAGGCCGGCAGCAGTAATTCATAGAAAAAATTTTCAAATGCCGAAGCTTAAGGGGATATGGCAGGCCACGTAACTCGGAGACAATCCTCGATCCACGCCGTTGGACCTTTTCGATCATGTCGCGCTCAAATGTGGAAAGCGGGTAGGCAGCAGGGAGGCCGTATTCCAAAATCGGGCGCACATGCGAGGTGAACAGAAGTCTAAAACGTTCCGGTATCAAGCAACAGAAAGCTCTTCGGATGGCGTGAAACCTCCTGTAGGCAGCGGCGGCCCTCTTCATGGTGTCCTGAGTGGGTCTTAAGTCCGGGGAAGCAGTCACGCCAAGGTCTCTCTCGGAAGTGACATTTTTAAGCAAGAAACCACCTATGTGGTAAGCGTCGAATGCTTCAGGAGCGCCGATAGGCAGGACGGAACATTTATCCTGGTTAATTGGTAAGCGCTACTGAGCCGGCCAGTTGTGCAGGAGATCGAGCGTCACTTGTATTCGATCTGCGTCCACTGGAGAGGATACCTCCTTCCCTATCTTTAGATCGTCCGCATAAATCAAGCAATCCGATTGTAGCTCCGACGGTAGATCGTTGACGCAGATATTGAAGAGTTCGGGGCCGAAAACGTAACCTTGTGGAACACCGCTGGTCACGTGCACAGGATCGGAATACGTTTCGTTCACCCTCACCAGCATGAAACGTGTGTGTAGGAAATCAGAAATCCAGGAGAGAAAGATTCCAGAGACACCGATACCTCGGAGTTTGTACAGGAGCAGTTCATGAGAGACTACATCAAAAGCGTTACTGAAGTCCACGAACACAACATAAAGGCGTTTGCCAACATCCAAAGCATTTGCCCATTTTCTCTAGCCATAAGCATGTTGGTAGAGCAAGAGCAAGCTTTGCGTACGCCATGTTGGGCACTGGATATCAGATCCAACCGCTCGAGATTAAATCGGAACGCCTGTTTCAGGACCCGTTCCATGAGTTTGCACACGATCGATATAAGTCAGATGGGTCAGTAGCTGGCTGGGTCTTGCCGGTTTCCTCCTTTGTATATGGCCTTGATGATGCCCATATTCCAAGCGGTCGGGAGAAGTCAGGACTGAAACGATCGACGAAAAACCTGCGTGATAGGTGAAGCAATATACTGAGCCACAGTCTTGAGGAACGAAGTGTGCAAGTAGTCAGGACCAGGCGATTAGTAAGGATCCAACTCACAGCGAAGTTTCAACACGCCGTCCGTGTTTATATCGACATGCTCTAACAGAGCAAGAGGAGTGTGCACTGTTCTGTCAGTGAACAACGCTGATGTTAAATACACTAAAGAGTATTGCCGCGCCAGGAGGCTGGCTTTGTCGGTGTCTTCGTGAACTGGGTCCTCATGCTCGGAAGAATACAGGGCAGGGATACCACTGCTTGCTCTAGTGCTCCGTTTGAGGTAGGAGAAATGCGTATTAGGTGTTGCTAGAATGTGTGTCTAGGGAGAGTTCATATTTTTGATGTTTCTCACGTTTTTGCAGGGTACAGGTATTCCTAACCGTTTTGTAACCGATGTAGTCATGCTCTGAGCGTATGATTTTAAAGCGGTCCCACGACTTGCGTCTTCTGTTCATTACGGAACGCAGTTCATTATCGATCCACGGAGGGCCTCTAGAGGGCGGTCGCTTTTTGGAAATGGGGACAACTTACACAATGAGTGCTGTCAGCTGGGAATACAGAAGATTCCAGGCACCGTCCACATTGAGATGTTCGGGAATATACCAATCCATAATACTTGCAGCCGTTTTAAGACGAAGGGCATCAACACGCCAGAAATTTCGGCGGACGGCACTTGAGTTGTGAATGGTACAGCGATAAGTCCATCGGAATAAAATAGTACAATGATCGCTTTTACCAGTGGATTGAATGACTGTTAGGTTCATGACGTCCGACTGCGTTGGGGAGAGCACAAGTTCCAGGATACGAGGCGACTGGCCGGCGATAATGCGAGTCGGCATGGACACATGTTGCTACAGGCTGCAGTCGAGAACGGTATCAAGGAAGGCGGCATAAAAGGAATCAGGTGGACGATTGCAAAGAAAGGGGTCCCAGTCGATATTAGGAGCATTGAAATCTCTCAGAATAAGATAATCCTTTCCAGCACTGTGCTTCTTGATCAGTTCCAACAGGCGAGCTCCCGCGCCCAGTGCCGCTCTGTAGATGACACCAACCAAAGAAGATCTGCACCCGTCATGAATGCGATACCAAAGGGCATCGAGCTCGCTGTCACTGTCACATGAGACCTCAACTAGATGGGACTTCAGGTCCGCCTTCCAGTATAGTATTACGCCGCCTCCCGGCTTCCTCCCATGACGATCGGCCCGAGAAAGGTGGTATCCAGGGGTAGATACTCCAGAGTCAATGATGTCAGGAAATAACCATATTTCACTGGAGGCCATTAAAGCAGGACAAACATCTGCGGCAAGCGTCTGGATCTCATCAAGTTGACATCGCAGACTACGAACATTAGCGAACAGCACACGCAATCCATTCTCTTGCGTTACTGTCCTGGGGTGACAAAAATCGGCCTCCAACGGGGTTCTCGGAATTTTCCGAACTACGCGAAATTTCACGATATGATGGTCCGTTTCACAATTCGCCTGACAGGTCCTCACCTAATCAACGGCTTTTTTTATTTTGATCCGATCTTCCGGGGAGAGACCTCTCAACACCTAAAACGGCCTGCCTTTGAGCCATGAGGTCCGTAGGAGAATGCGTCGAAATTCTTCCTCGATTTGGAACACAACTTTTAAGGGGCGAGGCTTGAGGGAATCTTCTTGTTTCTTACCTAAGCGGAAAGCCGAGATAGTGTTGATTCCCTGTTCTTCCCTTCGTCGAATAACACAGAGATAAGTCCTTCTAGGAACACTTGGTCGTCTAGCATCCGTCCGGCTGGGACATCTTTGGTCGATTCAGGCGTATTCATAATGATGATACACCGGTCACGGGAGGGTGGTAGGGTACGCCTGGTGTTTTGCGGTTATGAAAGATTTGCGTTGTCGTTGATCAGCGATTCCAAAAGGTTAATCTTGTCAAGGACAGATTTGAACTGTGACTGAGGGGAGGAATTCTTGGATTTAGACTTCGACTTAGTCTTAGCGTTATACATAGCACCAGATGCGGTGGTACTTTCCTCTACAACCGATGCGTGTGTCTTTGTCTTGGGCTCACTGTGATGGACGTATTCCAACGGCTCGGAGAAAGAATCAGACCGCCCGCGATTTCGTTTACCTGCGGGAAAGGTTGGTGCGGAGGCAGAAAGGAGAGAATGAGGAATAATTAGGGGGACCTGGGTTTCGTTGGAATGGTGTGAGGGCTGGCCGAGGAAGCCCATTCACAAGATATCTGTTGTTTAAGGAAGTATGGTAGACATCACAAAAGAAAACAATATCTGGAAATGTCATCAGCTGTAGTGCTTCATACGTATCAGGACCGATGCCACAGCAAGCAATATGCATCCAGCGGTCACATCCAGAGCAACGCACGGCTTATGAACGAGCAGCCACTCCTTTAGCGCAAGACAAGCATTTGGACGCCGTAGAAGATGTTGTCCAAATGTGTCGCGATTCTCAGGAAACAAGCTAGATTCGCTTTTCCTCACTAAAAAGCCTTCAGTGGACCGGAATGCTCAGTGAGACGTCGCGCGCCAAAGTTGCATTATGAGGAAAGTAAGTTCAATTTGGACGGGAACGGTTGAACATCACCATGAGAGTTCCTTTCTTAATGTGTTGTTGAACCAGGACAGTGTTGGAGGTGTCATTGGCACCTAAAGTAAGCCGAATAAGTAGGCACAAGGCACATCACGTGCAAGTAAACAATGCCCACTTGGCCAGCACTAACAGTCCCCGCTGCAGCTGCACGTGAGTAAGAATAAATGCTGAGAAGTGAAATAACCAAACGGCATACTCATAATTTTATTCTGTGAGAATGTGTAAATAAGGCACTACTAATAAGCAGGGGGTAAAGTCAAGGAAATGGATGTACAAAACGGAACAAACGAATATACCTATAACTGCAATCCAAGGGCGTGAAGTCCATGTATAGCCTCCTTCAGCGTAGGAACTGATACA